AGCGTAGTTCCCGGCGGCGCCTCGCTGCGGCCCCGCTGTCCCCCAGCCCCGCCCTTCCTCGACAGGTGTCCCCTCCCGGAATCGGGGTCTGAACCCCGCCACAGCTCTGCAGGGGAGGAAGCACCTGGGTCGGGGGGAAGCCTGGGCAGGCTCTTTGGAGACGCTTGGGGCTCCGGAGAGCGTGGGTGGCAACGGCTTTCAAGCTTGTGAGGAGCATTCTTGTAAGCGAGCATCCTGACACAGAAGCCGCGTTGAGAGCGGGCTCAGGTACAGACCCCGCCCGCCCCAGGGTTTTCTGGCTGGGCAGAGGCGTGGGAGGAGAGAGTAGTTGGGCAGCCTAGGGATGGAGAGAGGTGAGCGAGGTGAAGGTTAGCAAGGCTCTAGGGTGATGGCGTGAGGAGCTGGAGAGCCCACGCGCAGTGGTGGCTTCACTGAGGTGAGACCGGACGACGTAGCCTGTCTGAGCCTTCGCGTCCTCATCTGTAAAACAGGCTTAAAGCTTGAAAAAGTGTTGTGAGGATTAAGCGACCCATAGCACTTAGGGTCTGGCACTTAGTGCATACTCAGTGAAAGTTCCTTCCTTGGGGGTTCCAAGGGAGTTCTTGGGCCGGGAAAGTCCTATACGTCGTGCTAACCTAAAGATAGTTGGACCTCGTTGGTCTGGGTAAATGTTAAAATCCACTGGGTTTGTTAGTCGTTGAGCTGGTTCACTTCATCCCTGAATATACCCTAAGATATTCTCTCTGTCAGATTCTTGAGAGCTCCAAAGATAGAGAAAATAAAGTCAAGTTTCTGAAGCATGACAGTAGAGTGGGATGACAAAGGACAAAGACCAACATTATGAAAATACATGGCATCTAGATTTACCTTCCAGAGGCCTTTTCTAGTTAGATGTGGTCTCTCTCTCCTTCTTGAACTTTTGCAGCTTATTTTGAGCGTAACCTTTGCCTATGGGACTTGTCTTGACAGTTTAAGGTTGGTTGAGTTTTGCAAGTTGCTACTATGCAGTGTTTCACATGATGGTGGGATTTGCATTCAGAGATGTGGTGGAGGAAAATGAACCAAAGGGATGGATGCAGCATGGCTGTTGTAATCTCTGTATGAAATTTTAGGCAAAATGTGAAAAGAGGTGAAACAGCTTTATAGTCTGTCTGGCACGAGGTGTGCAGTAATCGTGTGGCCAAAAAAAAAGTGCTGCAGAGGAAATTCCATATCTGAAAATGACAACACTGCTTTGCATTTATGAAAATACTTTCCTATTCGTGTTCTTATTTTATTTTTATGAGAACTCTTGTGAGACAGGCAGAGTGAGGGTATTTTTCCCCAATGATAGTTAATAAGAGGCAGAGAGAGGTGATGTGACTTATTCAAGGTTATAGAGGTGGTCAGTAAGCCTGTCTTCTCTCCTTCCCCTGTGGGCACCCCCAGCACTGTCTCCCCTTTGCACATTTCAAAATAGGGCCATACCTTCCCCAGCAGATGGGTTGAACCAGAAAGTAAAGTTAATTCTCTAAAACTCTGGAAACTAGCATGATGAGCACTGGCACGCAGTAGCTGCTGACTGAGAGACCAGTGTCATTTCTACGAACAATTGTGGTAATGGACTATGCCCTGGGCCTCCTGTCAGAATGACAAATCTGAGCCAGAAAGAGTTAAAGGAAATGGGGGTGTGACCAAATTACTTTAAGTCATGTTCCCAAGTTTTCCTGTACATTTGTTATTCCGAATGTCCTGTGTAACCGACGGGATGCCTTTGACTTTTTTATGTTGTGCATTTGTTACCGTCATAGCCTTCTGTTAAATAAGAACAGGACTGCTTAAGGATCGAACCAGCAGTTTTCCCAGAGAAAGCTGATAGTAGGCATAAGCTGAAAATAATAAAGCAATTTCATTCATATTGGAAGAAAGAGTAGCAACGGTGCTCAGTAGTGTACGATATTTCTCTTTGGTTTCCTGTGGTTCCTCACAAGGAAAATGGCTGCATGTGATAAAATGAATAGATTATTCCTGCAGAAACCAGCCATGAAAGGAAGCAGACAGGTGAATGATTTAAGTTAAAGTCATATTTGGCAGTCGAAGCAGAGATACAAGAGCTATCCTACAGCCCTAGAGCCATGTTCCAGGAGGATATTGACACCAAAATAAAGTGAGTTGTGAAAAGGAACTTCTGATCAGTCTCTGTCTGTATGATGAGTGTTGGAAACTGGAAGGTGTTCATGGATGAGTGAGGGAAGTAGAACATTTAACCTAAAAGTTAAAACTTAATGGAAAGATATTACCAGTTCCAGTCTGTTTAGCTCTTTACATCTGATGCTTATGTCCTATTTTAAGGGAGAAAGGATGTCAATATGCCAATGACTTATCAGTTGAAACCCATTATCATTTCTGGACCATATCTTGTAGGTGTAACTTTTCTACTTGCTTTTTAGAAGATGAAAATGTAAAATTGAAACAGAACTCCTGGAACTGGAAGGGACTTTACATATCATCTTGTGTAACCATTTCTTCCTGTAAATGAAGAAGCTGATATATTGACTGTAATTGTCACATGACAGAAAGTAAAAAAGTTCAATGTGGCAGTTATAATGAAGTATTTTAATTATTCACAGTGGAATATGTAGCATACCTCATTAGGAACAGGCAGTAGATACTGTTGGTTGTCTATTCAAAATTCAGTCCACCCTCTTCTTCTTCTTTATAGAAGCCTATGTGGGTGTTTACACATTAGGAAAGGTGACTCTATCAGCTTCTGAGGTACACTCTCAAATCTATCATAGACAAGAGGAATGGGATCCTCTTAACTGGCCTCTAAAAGTTTAGTAGTGGACATGTGACCCAGTTCTGGCCATTGTAAAGAGATACAATTAATCTGGGTCTGCCATGTTGTTAAGTCAGTCATCAACCAGCCGCAGTGCTGCCCTTCTTCTGGATTTCTTGTTATATGAGATAATAAACAACCTTATTGTTGAGTCAATTTGAGATGGAGTTTTCTGTTACTTGAAGTTGAAAGCATCCTAAGTGTTAAAGATGAAATGTGAAAGTACATTCTTTGAATGGACTGAAAGACTGCTTCCTAGAGTTGATTAAAAACAACCACCACAAACCACAGGCAATGTGATGGAATATTGTCATATAACAGATAACAGCGTGGGTTTTAACATCAGAGAGTTTGAACCCAGATATTTACTGGCAGATTGACTATGGCCAAGTTTCTGTAACCTCTCTTAAGCCTCATTTTCTTCTTCTTCTTTTTTTTTTTGGATACTGTCACCAGGCTGGAGTGCAGTGGTGTGATCTCGGCTCACTGCAACCTCCGCCTCCTGGGTTCAAGTGATTCCCCTGCCTCAGCCTCCTGAGTAGCTGGGACTACAAGCGCTGCCCCCACACCCGGCTAATTCTTTGTATTTTAGTAGAGACAGGGTTTCACCATGTTGGCCATGATGGTCTCAATCTCCTGACTTTGTGATCCACCTGCCTTGGCCTCCCAAAGTGCTGGGATTACAGGCGTGAGCCACTGCACCTGGCCTTCTTCATCTCTTAAATTGAGGATAATAATACCACATAGGGTTATTAGAAAGACTAAATGAGATAATTTGTGTCAAGGATGCTTCAAAGGATATGGTGGATTGTAAGGACTAAAAGGAGCAGCGACTATGTTGATGAATTATGAATTAAATCGTATGTGTAGTATAATTGACAGCAAACATCTAAAAGCTAATTACTATGTAATCATGATCATGTTAAATGATACCACAGTGATGCAATCAGCAAAATCCAAAATATAGGAAGCTCTACATGACAAACAACTGTTTCTTCAATAAATAAATTGCAAGAAAAATAAAAGGAGAGAAAACTTATAGACACACAGAAATTCAAGAGACAAATAACAAAATGTACTGTGTGATCTTAATTTGAAAAAACAGCTGTTAAAATTTCACATTAATGAGACAATTGGGGAAAGTGTGAACACAGAATATTTGATTGTATTAAGGACTGTTTTTAAAAATTATTATTATTATTTTGAGACAGAGTTTTGCTCCTGTTGCCCAGGCTGGAGTGCGATGGCGCGATCTTGGCTCACCTCAGCCTCCACCTCCCGGGTTCAAGTGATTCTCCTG